CAATTCTGTGATTCTGTCATCACCACCAGCATCTCCATGTTTCTCCTGCCTGCAGAGGATGCTCCTGGGATGCCCTGCTGATGGTTGCTACCAGCGATCCCGGGCTGGGTGGTGACATTTGCCAGTGCTCTGGGCAGGGTGCAGCAGGGGGAGGGCAGAGGCTGCTGCAGGCTGTCCCTGTCTGCTTGCCACTCAGGGTCACTTGTTCCAACAGAGGCACATCCTGGGAGAAGGCCACACCACACCTTTCCTAAGGATGCTTCAGAAACAGCTGCTTTCTATCACACGTCGGGAACGATCCCTTGCATCAAGGCCAGCTAGAATTAATCTTCAACTTACTTCTTTCATTGTCAAGCAAACATTTCGAGTGCCCGGGAGGCAATATTTGTCTCACATAATTTCCACAACGGGAGCTGTAATCCTCACTTTCATGGCTCATCTTTGATGAGTTCCTAGGTGTGACAGTTTCACTGGTGCCGTCCCCAGAGCCACGTCAGGCTCCCATTAGCCACGGTGCTCCAGGAAACCAAATGACAGAGGGAGTGAGAACAGCAGCCTCCAGAGGGCATTTCAAGTGACCACACTAGAGCTTTTTCCATTTACCTGGATTAAAATTGGTCACAGAGAAAATGCAAGCAAATACCTGAGAAGTGTAACAAAACAGCATTTGGCCAGACGACAGGATTAAGTTGGGGGGGAAATCCACAGTGTAAATAAAGTGTAAACTATGTTTGCATAACATTGGATTAATAGCTCTTTTTTAAAACCACTCTGGGATTAAAGAGACTCATTTCATATGCTGGGGACTTGTGCTCTCTCTTCTTAGCCTAATAAATGCCAGCAAATACATCTAAGAGAAATAAAAAGCTTTGTTAGCCCGAAGCCTGCAGAGCTTTACTCAGGCCTTTGGAAAAGGAGCAAATAGCTGTAGTATTCTTGGAGTAGACCTGTGTATTTTATACAGTTTTGCAGCAAGGGTTCCCTGTGGGGAGGGATTTCTGCTGCACATCTCCAGTCCTGTTCACCCGCGGGTTTCGTCGACAATGATTTGGAAGGTGGTGATGGGAAGGGGAGCTGGCTGCCCACCCACCAGCACACACAGCCTGCATGTTTGAAAGCCTTTCCAATCCCTCATTCCTAGCACTCCCACCCTTTCTGCCCCAGCCCTGCTCCATATTCTGCTGAAGTCCTGTCATTCCTCCGAGCTGCTTAAGGGCCGCTCAGGGGCTCTGGCTGGGATCAGTTACCTTATTAGTGTGGAATAATCAATGGATGTGGTCCCTGATTCCTTCGGTTCTTTGGTTTGTGGCATCTTCTAATGACACCCATTTGCATGATGCTCCCCACAGGCTCGGCAAAAATAGGCTTCTTAAATGTGGCACATCCAGAAACTGGCCATGGATGGGGCATAGCAGCACGTGGGAGGGAAAGCCTCACCCCCACCCCCCCATTTTCCCCAGCAGAGACGTTAAATGGGTGTTCTAGCCTTTCTCTTTTGTCCCTGTTGGCTCCTGTGGTTGTGGCAGTTGGTTGTTGGTTGTTGTTGCCCCAGAGCAAAGTGTGGCACCTTCCACCCAAAACACAAGTCCTCCCTAGTGCTTCAGCTGAACAGGGCTAATATCAAGCAACCAGAATTTTCCAAAGAGCAACAGGTGAGATTTTTACCTCTTTTCCTGTTCTTCTTTTCCCTTTCACCTGCTCCAGAATCAGGCTGTAGAATTGGCACCTTAATCCCAACAATGATGGTAATTAAAAACTTAAGTCTCCATAAACAGATGCAAATAAATTAAGGAGGCAAAGGTCTGAATTAGAGGCTAATCCTGGTGGGGTAGTGAAAGCCAAGGGGCCAGTAATTCTTTCCTTCTGTGATTTCACCTGTTCCTGTGGCAGGACTAGGCTGTGGCACAGCACAGTGTGATGCCTGGACATGCCACGCAGGCACCAACCACTCATTGCAAAGCCCTGCCTGTGTCAGGGAAGGGGACACACTTCCCAAACCTTGCAGCTGTGAAGGTGTGGGTGTTAGCTTGAAGAGGGACCTGTGTGCTGATGTCTTCAAACCATGAGGTTTACTGCAGGCATTTCAAAAGGCTGAGTTCAGCAACCACTCATTCCCAAGCACTGTGCACAGCCCTTTCCTCGCCTTCCTACTGCCAGGACACCAGCAGCCAACAGAAATGACTTGGGTTTGGGTCCAGAACTGAATTCTGAAGAGCAAGGACCTAAGATTTATGCAGTTGGATGAAAAGTGGGATTTTTTTTTAGGTTTTTTTTTTCCATGTGCTTCCTTGTGCTGAAGAGTGCAGAGTGCCGAGCTGTTCCAGCACCCTGCTGCTTTAGCCTTCTCTCAAGTAGCTGGCCAAGGCTGAGCTTGTACAGAAGCATCTTGCACTAAAGCATCAGGATCAGTGAGGGTCCCAAAGCACTGAGATCTTTCTGGGCTGGAAGTGATAACACCATAAACTGAATCATATTCATGTCATGACGTGATCCACGCGCTCCTACAGGTGGATAGATGTTGATTATCCATCAGTATGGATTGATGGTGGATGATGATTCAAAGCTGACCTGCCAGGTAGCTGGCTGTCCTGGGCTGTTTATCTAGTCAATTCAAATCACTGGTGTGATTCACCTTATTTATTTAAAACTGGAATTGACTTGTATCACCGTGACAACACCTGTACCTCTAAAATCAAGTCTCTGTGTCTCTCTTGCAGGATGGGGAAGGCCAGACTGCCCTCCATTATGGTAAGTTGCCCATCAGCTCAGTTGTTCCCTTTTAGCAGGATGGATTTTGCAGCTGGAGTCAATGGTCTATGTACAGAAAGCAAATTTCAGCAAGAATATGAGCAGGGAAGCTGGGTTTGATTAACCAGCAGCTACTTCCACTGGCAAGTCCCAGTTTGCTATGAGTAGGAGCCCTGGGAGAAGCAGTGAGGAAAACTGCTGTCCTCCCTTCCCTCTCCTCTGCAGATTTCACCTTAAAGCCTTCCTTTTCCCCCAATCCATGATCCACTTTCTGCAGAGTTTGTCCAGTGTGTCTCCAGGGTGCTGCTGTGCTACCTCCAGACTCCAGAATTGGGGAATGCTGAGTCCCTCAGCCATCAGGGGCTTGAGAAGAGGGTCTGTACCAGCTGGTACAGCAGGTGAGGGGACAAAGACAAGCAAAAGGGGCCTTCCCCTCCACATATCCTGGTGACAAACCTGTTTGCAGGTTTGCAGCAGCTTCCTCACTGCCAAAACCAGCAGAATGAAGTTGCAGTGGGTGTCCCTCCTACAATTATGTGCTAATTAGATATGTCATTTCATAGCAATCTTTAATTGCAAGAGAAATTAATGAGAAAAGTAGAGGCTAACGTGACACGTGGTGCTGATCTGTGGGGAACAGGAAAAAAGTATCAATTTAATCTGTATCATAGTTTTTTTTCCCAAAATTAAGACCTACCCAGTTATGCTCTCTCTTGATGCCTGTGACTGTGTAATTAAGAGCATCCTTGTCATTCTGAAGTGTTTGTGTCTTTTTCTCTCTTATGAGCTCTCCACAAGGACATTAGCAGGGTTGCAAAATTGCTTTGCAGACCATCAGTCCAAGGCACTGCATTTGGATCTGGATCTAAACTACCAGATTCCAGGGCCTCTGAGCAGAGACTGTAATTACAATAATGTGTGATTTCTCCCCATGTAAATCTTTCCTGTAGGTGACTTTATTTTTCCAATTCTTCTAATTCTGACTGATGCAGCAAATCTGTTGCTCAGGGCTGCAGTATCCACGGAATGACAGCACTCCATGGTGCTTCTTTCTCTGCCTGGCTCATTCCACGTTTTGGGTTTTCTCTCTCCTGGGGAGATGCCTCTCCCCTGCTCCTAACTCCAGCACTGACATCTGCCTCCTGAGGGGTGCAGAGTGGGTTAGAGCAGGCTGTGCAGGAGCATAGCATGTAAGTTATCCAAGAGCACCTGCTTCAAGCAAGTCCAATCCATGGAAGCAGAGGGTGGATGCATCACCTCAGTGTAAATCCCTCAGGTAGATCCCTCTGGCTGGTGGCTGCAACTGATTCTACAAACCTAAATTTAAATTAACAATATTTCAGAAATGCTTTCTCTGATCCACCCAGCTCAGATGCTTCGATATTGACAGTGAACCAGGGTTTTTTTCATTCATGTTTTTAAGTGTTAAAGTTTTTTCTTCCCTTTGAGTGTGATCCCCTTGTTGCACGTTCTCTTTGGGGAAGCCCCTCATGGTTGCTGGCACAACAGGTCCCTGACCCACCATCTGAGCTGATCTGAGCTGATCTGGTCAGAAATCAGCCCAATCTTGAAGACAACTTGTTAAAGGAGTGAATGGTTTTGCTTCAGGTGGCTATTGGCCTGAAACTGGAACTCACTGAAAACCACCTGATACCATCTCAGTTAGAGCTTCGTTAACCAACCTGTTAATTGCAGCAGGGAGGCATGAGAGCTTGCATGTCTCTGTCGGTGCTGTTTGTTGGAGGCTGTTCAGGGAAGGGTTAAACCCAGCCAGCAAGGCCCAGCGAGACAGCCACGGGCTTTTAGGGTGTCTCCATCCCTTTTTATGAGCCAGCATGGCCTGACAGCTGTCCTTGTGATGACAGCTCTCCTGATTACAGCCGGTGGGGAACTGCATCCTGCGGGGGGTTATAAATCCTCCCTCCTTCCGATCGGTGCCGACCCCGGGTTTAATCGGAGGTTAAGTGGAGGCCACCGGCAGCGAGGGCTGAAGGCACCAGGGCACCCACTGCCCTGTGGAGCTGTATGAGCACAGTCTCCCTCCTAAACAGCCTGTTAGTCTTCCTCTCCATCCATCCATCCATCCATCCACCCGCCGGGAATACTAAAATCATTGCTGCTGCCTCTCCCAGAGGAAATCAAGGCTTGCTCCGTGGCCACGTGGCCGCCGAGTGGGCAGGCTCTGTATCCTCACGGGTGCTCCAGCTTCCCTGCAAAGCACCATCTGTTCGCCTCTGTCTTGTGCTGTGGGAGGGGATGCTGGAGGGAAAATAAATAATAATCATAAAAAAAAAAAAAAAAGAGAGAGAAGAAATTCATCATCTGAACCCTGAGGATTAATGGAGTCGGAGGGCGAACTGCGCTGAATGGGAACTCATCTCCACCCGTGCCAGTGTCAGGGCTGCTGCTCCAGCCCCTGACAAATCGAGGGTCCCAGGCTGTGATAAATCCAGCAGCTGTGCTCATCCCCCCCTGGGACATCCCCAGCCCACTTGGGAACACGGGCTGTGCCTGCTGGTGGCACCCAGTGAGGAAACCACCTCCCCATCCACGCGAGCTGCCACCACAACTTTCTGCACGGGTGCTCTGCCATCACCCCCCAGCCTCACCCACATCCCCACCTGCTTCCTCATCAGCCCCTTTCCCCTTTTGTTGTGTTTGGGGTTTTTTTTCTTTTTCTGTATAAGCTCGAATCACGTCAGATTTATTTTAATTAAACATTGCTGCTTGTCCCTGTGGGTCAGCAGAAAGCTGCAGAGTAATGCAAAAGATGCTCCAATTACCACATTTAATGGCAAAAACAAGTGAGTTGGTTAAAGCCCCTAAAATATAATTAAAACCCATCACTATCAATGCAAGAGAAACCTGCTGGCTTTGGGGTCTGGTAAGGCAAGTCAGGGCTGAGGCAGTTTTTGGCTTCTCTAGGCTCTGCTTTTCTTGGGTTGGAGGGAAAATCCAGGGACTGAGACTTCATCTGCAGTCTGTTAAAGAGTTTTTCCTGGGTGTTTTTCTTTTTAATGTCCTCAGGTGAGGTTGGAGAGGGAGCTGAAAGCTGCCATGCTGTCCTCGGGGAAGGGAAGAGCTCAGGGCAAACTTGGTTCTGTCTTGGCAGAATCAATTTGGGTTGTAAAAAACAGTTGCTAGGGTTGGAAAGAGCAGTGGTGTGTTGTCCCTGGGTATGGGCACGTCCACCAGAGCTGGTGCTCAGGGAAGGGCCAGGCAGTGGCTAAAAAAAACACCTGAATTTTCTGCAGAGATGGATGAAAGTCAGGATAGAGGCAGTACTGGTGATGTCCTGCCTGGGACATCCTGCCTGCAGAGCCCTTGGGAGGTTCAGGAAGCAGGTGAGAGGTCGGGGTTTATAAATGTGTTAGAAATTATCAATACACGATAAATCCTGGGTACAGAAGAAGGTGGGAAAGGCACCCCCAGGTGGCTTTGGGACTCTCTGTGGTGCTGCAGTAGCACTCTGGGACTCTTCCTGGAGTCCATCTCCAGTCCTGTGAAGGAGCATGATCCTGTGCCCAGGATCTCCCACCCTGCATCCCTGGGGCTGCATCAGCAGCAACCCCTCAGGGCTGCTGCCTTCTCACGCCTTTCCTCTGCCTTTTGGCACTTGAAAACCCAAAGGTAAGTAATACACTGAGTACAGAACACTGCCCTGAGAAATGGATCAGCTGGGGCGGGCCAGGTGCTGAGGCAGCATTTCCTGCCTCTGGGCCAGCTCCAGCCCGGCTCCAGCAACGCCTCAGGTCAGGTAACTTAAACCCAGACTGACCCCTCCTCTTTTTCCTCCCAACCCCAGCTGCTGCCTGCGAGTTTTTGGACATCGTGGAGCTGTTGCTGAAGTCGGGAGCCGACCCCAGGCTGCGGGACCAGGAGGGCTGCCTGCCGGAGGAGGTGACAGACTGTAAAGCCATCACTTCAGCTCTACAGCAGCACACGGCTGGCCAGGCTTAGCAGAGACACCTCCACAGGAACAACCTTCTCTTCCCCCTGCTGCCTTCCAAAAGGGTTTGAAGGGCAGCTTGTAGAACACAGGGTCTTGGGTGGGCTCTCCAGCACCAAGGGGGCTGGCTGGCCAAGCACATGTCCAGGGCAGGATGGGATCAGGGTTATGCATGCTGTGACATTTAGCAGTTTGGGGTTTGGGGGGTTTTTTTGGGGGTGGGGGGTGGCCAGGGAGGGGAGAGATGGTCTGGAGAAGCCCCAAGTATTGTTGTAATGTATTAAACACAAGTGGGTGTCTCTCCTGTAGGAGGGGTGGGGGGCTGGGCCAGGTATGAGCCTCATTTCTCCTGTTCAGGTTGAGTTTTGGTTTTCATTTGTTGTTTGTTATTTTATTCTCCTGGGTCCAAACGAAATACTATAAATAAAAGCACAGTGTGGGGAAGGAGCCTCTGTGTGGTTTTCTTTCAGGGAGGGACTTGATTCCATGGAAGCATTCAGGGTGGGAGGCAGCACAGATCTGTTGGAGCCCTTGGGAAGCTCTGCTCAAGCTCTCATCCTTGGGGAGAGGGCTAGAAAAGCTGGTGGGGACATATATCTGTCTGTCCATCCCTCTAGTTCTCACCTAACGTCTGTAAGACAAGTGTTTGGTGACAACCTCTCCAAGCTGAGAGGACTCTGACCATGTCACACAACCACTTTGCTGAGTTCAATGGCATTAAAACCCCTCCCCATCAGCAGCTCCAGGTCCTCCTGTCACATCCCAGTCCCTGGGGTGGTTCTTCAGGCATGGGGGTTGTGTATGGCCGGGACATAAACCTGCACTCACCCTATGGACCTGTCTGGGACACTTCATGGTCCTCTCAGATGACCAAAGACCCAGAAAAGGGGAAATTTGTGGCAATACTTGTCCTGGAGTGGGCAAGATGGTTTCCTGCATCCTCATTGGGATTCCCACTGGGCTGTGTACAGCCTGGGGAAGCTCAGGACATCTCCATCCATGTGATGGGAAGCTACTTGCCATTGAGTCCTTTCTGCAGCACATCCAGCCTCAGAAAAATAAGTGGGAATGTTCCCTCTGCTAGGACTGGCTGTGCTGGAGGCACGTGTGGGTTCTGGCCCCACGTGGTGGCCGCTGGCTCCTGCCAGCTTTTGCTAAGGCTGATGAAGTTTTGCTGCACTGGCTTCAGTGCTGCCAGCAGCCAAAGCCACCACCACGTCATGGCTCAGGCACCTGAGGCACAGGGCAGGCTCAGTGGTGGGGACAGCACGGTTTGGGCAAGGTAACAGGCCTTTATATTGACCAGGTCAACTTATTTTCCATTAAACTTAATATTGGAGGCATCTGGGGAGCTGTGGTGGGGATCGAGCAACCTGATCTAGTTGGAGATGTTTCTGCTCATTGCAGGGGGGCTGGACTAAATGGCCCTTAAAGGTTCCTCCCCACCCAAACCATTCAACAATTCGTTGGAGCCATGAATGATGATAAACTAAATGTCAGGTTTCAACATTTAGTGTCCCTGCAGGGTGATGCTTATTAGAAGGAAGTGATGCAGCAGTCCCTTTGACCCTTGAGCAAGGTTCCCACCGTGGCTTCTGCTCCCTTTCACCCTGCCAAGGGGACCCACAGGATGGCACTGCTGGGTCTCATCACAGCCACAGTGCAGTGAGAACACAGATGCTGGCAGCTTTTGGATGTGGGGGGGAAGCAAAGGTGCCAACCTGACAGCTGGGGTGCTCCACGCAGAGCTGCTGGCTTTGGGATGGAGACATAGTGGCATCAAGGTTAGGGACAAGTTGAGGCCACCCTTGTGCAGTGCCATAATGCACAGACACTGCCTGGCTTGGTGGACATGCTGGGTAATAAAAAAAACAACAACCCAAACCCCTCTCTTAAAGCAGGGATGAAAAGCAGCAGCCACTGTGCCTGTGCTTTCAGCCCTGGAGATGTTTATAGCCCTCTAGGTCTGTTTGTGAGGTTGGAGCCTTTCCAAAAAAAAAAAAAGCCCAGAGGGGGGAAAAAAGAAAAAAAGGGAAAGACATATATTATTGTTTATAATCTGCTTTATTCAGCCAAACCTTTCCCCAGCAGCCTTGCAGATTGCTGTTTAAATCCCTCGATGCCTTTAACTACCGATACAGAAAGTGGTTAATGTGCATTCGGCCTAAGCTTGGCATCTACTCCAGGAAATCACTTTAATTGAGAAGCATTAAATGTTAAAATGATTAAAACATAGAAAAAGCCAACACACCGGTGTCCATGGAGGGGCCTGGTCCCACCCACCCCTCACCCCCACCTCAGCCTTGCTTTTCCATCTCACCTGTGCCCGGCCAGTGCTGCGGTGGTACAGCTGGGTGATGGTGGTGGCATCTTGGGGGTGCCACGTAGCAGGGGTGGAGGTGCCCACCCCAAACCCACCCACCCCACTTCTCCAGCCCTGCAAGAAAAAAAAAGCCAGGCCACAACAACCGGTGTTTAGGGGACACTGGCTTCTCCCTCCAGGGCAAGACCCAGGGGATCCTGACCTCAGGTAGACGAAGGTGAGGAAGTGGAGGAAGAAATTCCCAAAGCCAGCAGCTGCTAAAGAGCATCCCGAGTTTATTTGACATGGCTTTTCCCTCCAGGCAGAGGGGGTGACCATACACATCTCATGCCAACGCACAGGAGGCAGGGTACAAAAGCAACACCCTGGGCCCAAAGTCAAGGGAGCGGAGGGGGGGTGGGGTGGGGGTGGTCTCTCCCCCCAAAAAACATGGCAATAAATATGCTTTTATTCTCTGAATTAATTTTTTTTATATTATTATTCTTTTTGCTGGGTTTTTGTTCTTTTTCCCTCCCCCCCCCTTTCTTTCTTTCTTTCTCCCCAC